TACTATTTTTATTGATTGGCATAACTGTTTTATTAGTTAGTTTAACTATTTTCTTGGAATAACTATTTAAATGGTTACCTTACTAACAAAATGGTTAAGCTGACTAATTACATGGCAAAAGTAACTAATATAAATTAGCTAAAATACTCTTACTAACGAAAAGATAATCGCAATCAATTGATTCTCTCAGTGCATGTTCGAATTAACTAGTTACATAAAGTAAATAAGTTTCGGATGTAATCGGACTAACTTCACATTCACTAGTTGTATATTGTCGGATTAACTTCGTATTATATTAAAATAATCTTTGATTTATTAGGGTTGGTAATAATTACATTAATGAAAGAAATAAGTGTATATTTATAATAGTACATGAAAATGTATGTATATATAAAAACTAATTTTTTTGATTTAATGTTTCAGGCGAATATGATTCTAAGACCGCCACTTTTAGGACAGGTAATTTAATTTTTTTAAAGACAAATTTGAGTTTATAAAAGGAATTTTTTTTTAATTATTACTTATACTTTACTTATATTTTTCTTGTCAATAAATAAATTCTGGTTTATAAATAAAAGTAAATTTTATTTATATTTTAGGGATTAAACGCCGCTCCGTGTTTCGTGCCTCCCACATTCATACCTTCTTCATCTACGGTAGGGTTATTTATTTATTTAACTTACTTTGCGTACTTTAGTTCCAAAATAATAAATGGTAATTCATTGACAGTAGTGAATCTAGGATATGGATTTGGGGGCTGGAATAGAATAGAATTAAAAATAATTATTCTTTTTAATTCAGGAAACATGCTTTCTTTAATTTCTCGTATAGGACAGAAATATGTGAATTTATATTTCTTTTAATTCCAATTGAAAGTTGACGTAATTCCGCATCCAACGAGCCCTATATTGACTATTTTGCACGGTGGGCAGGAAGCGACGATAGGTTGAACAAAAGTGTCAAGAAAAACTGAAAGTGGGGTTGTATTTATGGATGATTGTAGGTGAAAAATCCGTTTAGAATGAAATCCTAGCTGCTCCTATTTCAAAGTTATCCACGTTTTAATTTTTTTAATAGGATCAATTTTTGAAAAATAGAAAAGGCGCGAACATTTCTTTGTGTTTGTGTGTGTACGTGTAGACATATGTTCACATACGATTTCCACACTTGTAGCCAAATATAGCATCCTTTGTAATTTCCCAATTATAAAATAATAAATATTAAGTGTTGAAAGTCACTAGTAGACGTGGCAAATAACACAGCCCCACAAAAAAAAGTGTCGTGCGCGGCAGACCAGACTAGTCATTTCCCATGTATTTTGACGCGCTGAACACGAATCCGAAGTCCGTTTTGCTCCATCACGTCAGGATTTTTTTCTAACCTCCAAAAACCTGTCGGATTTTGAGAGGTAGGCTATTTTTTTAAAAAATTGATGGATTTACTTCAAAATTGGTATCTAGGGGTTTTTTGAGTCGCTGATGACGAATTTGAAGTTAGATTTTCAAAATTCAAAATGGCGGCTCCAATATGGCGGACAAATTTTGTAAAAATTGATGGATTTACTTCAAACTTGGTATCTATGGGTTTTTTGGGTCGCTGATTACGAATCTGAAGTTAGATTTTCAAAATTTAAAATGGCGGCTCCAATATGGCGGACGAATTTTGTAAAAATTGATGGATTTACTTCAAACTTGGTATCTAGGGGTTTTTTGGGTCGCTGATTACGAATCTGAAGTTAGATTTTCAAAACTAGAAATGGAAATTCTTATATACATAAGTAAGGTATTTACGTCTTTTTATGGTAGCGCACTCTTTTGTCCTCAAAGGATCTGTGTAATGGTTTTCTTTTCAAATTGGTGCCTCCATGTACAATATCCCTTTTCAGCATCCAACAGTAGTTGGCCATCATATTTACATCCCATCTTCCTTGATAACGACGCTCAAAATCTTTCAGATCTTGATGGAATCGTTCTCCTTGTTCTTCACTGTAATCTCTCAAATTTTCAGGGAATTGATCCCGATGCGAGTCTAAGTAATGCAACTTTATGCTCATTAAGCATCCTAACTTACCAAAGTTTTTAATCATATCACTAACTATTTGCTCCCAATTTTCACTCTTGTGATTACTCAGAAAATTTTCGACAACTGCTTTGAAACTAAGCCATGCGGCTTTCTCCTTTTTATTCATCTTGGTGATAAATTGCTCATCTTTTAACAATTTGCGAATACAAGGTCCGTCGAAAACCCCTTCTTTTAGTTTCGCATCAGAGATTTTTGGAAACTTTTGTTCCAGGTATTTGAAACAGTTTCCTTTTTTATCTAAGGCTTTGACAAACTGTTTAATTGCTCCTAGTTTCGTGTGTAAGGGCGGAATTCGACCCTTTGAAGGGTCGATATCGTCCGCCATATTGGAGCCGCCATTTTAAATTTTGAAAATCTAACTTTAGATTCGTAATCAGCGACCCAAAAAACCCCTAGATACCAAGTTTGAAGTAAATCCATCAATTTTTACAAAATTCGTCCGCCATATTGGAGCCGCCATTTTGAATTTTGAAAATATAACTTCAAATTCTTCATCAGCGACCCAAAAAACCTTTAGATACCAATTTTGAAGTAAATCCATCAATTTTTTAAAAAAATAGCCTACCGCTCAAAATCCGACAGGTTTTTGGAGGTTAGAAAAAAATCCTGACGTGATGGAGCAAAACGGACTTCGGATTCGTGTTTAGCGCGTCAAAATACATGTGAAATGACTAGTCTGGTCTGCCGCGCACGACACTCTTTTTTTGTGGGGCTGTGTTATTTGCCACGTCTACTAGTGACTTTCAACACTTAATATTTATTATTTTATAATTGGGAAATTACAAAGGATGCTATATTTGGCTACAAGTGTGGAAATCGTATGTGAACATATGTCTACACGTACACACACAAACACAAAGAAATGTTCGCGCCTTTTCTATTTTTCAAAAATTGATCCTATTAAAAAAATTAAAATGTGGATAACTTTGAAATAGGAGCAGCTAGGATTTCATTCTAAACGGATTTTTCACCTACAATCATCCATAAATACAACCCCACTTTCAGTTTTTCTTGACACTTTTGTTCAACCTATCGTCGCTTCCTACCCACCGTGTTTGGATTAGAGGATTTTTTTTAAAAATAATTGCTATGTTAGCCAATTGTTTATTAACAATATACTAACTCAAAGTACTTTATATAGGGCTCGTTGGATTTGGAATTATGTATATATATTTTTATTAACATTAATTAATTAATTAATTAACTAATATCTCGAAAATAGCAAAAAAGAACATCTCAATATTTTTTGAGGTAAAAATACACATATTTAACTTTAAAAAAAATAAATGAAAAATCTAAAAAGGACCGAACTTAAAGAACAGTCAACAAAATTTTTAATTTTCAGAAAAAGGGTCAAATTTTAAATTTTTTGAAATTTTTTTCACCAATCAAAAGAGCACAAAAAACATTTGGAAAACATAAATGTCAAAATATTTTTATTTACTTATGTAGTATTTATAATTTTTAGTTAATTAATTAACTGTTATGGTTAATAAAAATGGTGTATTTAATGAACAAATAAAGTTATCGTAATTCTGACGTTACTAAATGAAAGTTGACATAATTTCGAATCCAACGAGCCCTATATAAAGTAATTTGGATTAGTATATTGTTAATATAAACAATTGGCTAACATGACAATTGTTTAAAAAAAACTTCTAATCCGAAATAGTTCATGTATGGCTCGTTGGATGTGGAATTACGTCAGCTTTCAATTGGTAACTTCAGGTTTGCAATCACTTTATTTATTTGTGAAATATTTCATTTTTTATTAAAATTAATTAATTAATTAATTAATATCTCTCAAATAAGAAAAAAGGACATATCAATATTTTTTGTGGTAAAAATACACATTTTCAGCTTTCAAAAAAATAAATAAAAAAAAAGGACCAAACTTAAAAAAAATTCGAAAAAAGTTTTAATTTTCAAAAAAAGGGTCAAAATTTAAATTTTTTGAAAATATTTTTGCACCATTCGAAAAAACAGAAAAAAAATTTTCGAAAACATATAGGGCAAATTTTTTTTCATCTTTCTGTTTAAAACTTACAAGTCTTGTTCAAAAATTCACTGTTTAAATTTTTCAAAAAAATTCAACACCCTCTCTCTCCGATAGTTTTTGAGAAATCCTAACAACACATCATGGTTAAATTACTTACCCCTAGGACTAAACTATGTGTAATTTAGAGCCCGCTCCGATCAACTTTTTTTTAACGTAGTTCGCTACAGGAATTTTATCCCGTATAATACTTTTTTTTATTTGTTTATTGTTTTAGGCGAATGTGGTTATAAGGCCGTCACTTTTAGGGCAGGTACCCTATTAAAAATTCCTAAGTAGTTTCCTACATAGGATCCTGCGTCAGATCCTAATAGGAAAGTAATAAGAACCTAATGTGGAAACTACTCAGGAAACTATATAGGAATCAGCGTAGGATCCTAGGTAGGAAACTACTTAGGAATTTGGGATAGTATCCTACGTAGGAAACTACGTTGGATCCTAATAGAAAAATACGTAGGAAACAAAAAGAATAGTGGAAATTTTTTTTTTAAATTTAGAAATTTCCAATTAATTTTAATGATAAACTTAAAAATGTATTTATAATAATTAGTTTTAATTTATTAAATTTATATAGGTATATATGTTAATTTAAAAGTTGAAACAAAAAATAATTAGTCAATTGCTGATAGTGTCTTAAAATATTTATTCAAATGAAACATATTATAAAAATAAAAGTAATAATATTTTTAAATATACGAAAAAGTTGTTTAATTTTTTACTTCAATTTCACAACAATATAACATTGAAGCAAGTAAAATGTGAAGTCTATAAAGGAGGTTCTACAATAGGTGCAAAAGGCAAGTGCAAATTCGAGAGAACCATGAGTACAAGAGAGATAGCTAGACAATCTATCTCTTTTGGACTCATGGTTTTTTTGGACTTGAACTTGCCTTTTGCATCTATTGTAGAACCTCCTTAACATTACGAGTAATAAAATCGTATTATAAAGAAATAAACATAATAAAAATAATGTAAAATAATTAACTTCTATTGTTTCTATTGTTTCTTTCGTTTCACATCATTTAATTTCTGGGACATGTGATACCAAATTTTTTTCATCCGCATTGCTCGCCTTCCTGGTGAAATTTTATTTTTATTTTTTAATTTATACTTCAATGCATCTGAAAAAATAATAAAGACAGATTATTATTTATATTATAATTATATTATATATATATAGTAGAGTGGGATGAAAAAGCCATTTTTTTTTCTTTTTAATATGTAAAATCGATACCCACACAGTACAATATCTTGCTGTAAGCTTCTCTTGAGTTTAAACCTAAGATTCGTTAGCTTACAGCGTAAACTTCAGGTGAGGTTAAGGTAAGCTGCAAATGTCCTCTCTACTGTAAGCTGCAGTGTAAGATTGTATTCAGCTTACAGTTAATCTTATTATAATATTTCTCTAATTACTATTACTATCTATAATATTCATCAACAGTAGTGTAAGCTTAAAGGAAGTTTACATGAGGCTTACAGTAATCTTACATGGAAGCTTACATTAAGCTTACACGATGCTTACAGAAAGTTTACGGGAAGCTTAGAGTAAGGTTATACTAAGATTAACTGTAAGCTGACTACAATCTTACACTGCAGATTACGGTAAAGTGAACATTTGCAGCTCACCTTAACCTCACCTGAAGTTTACACTGCAAGCTAACGAATCTTAGGTTTAAAATCAAGGGAAGCTTACAGCAAGATAATGTCCCACACAGCACCTAAACTTTTCTAAAAATATATTAAATATTTACTTGCAAACTTCGCAGTATTTAATTGAAAAGTTTAGTGAAAATTGCCTAAAGATTTAAATGTCCCACTTAAATAAATGTTTCGCCTAAAAGTTTACTGAAAATTTGAATTAAATTTTCGTGAAAGTTTCTTAGCGAAATTTGACTGAATATTTAAATTAAATTTTCGTAAATTTTTTGTCGGGAAAATTGACTGAACATTTAAATTCGTGAAATCAAGCTATGAATATTCTGTTTAATAAATGTGTTCATATTCATATAACTGTTTATTTCATTTGTTCTATTTCTATTTAATATGATTTTTTTGTATTTATTTCAATTTCCTACAATATTCATAAGTAATAATTTTTCAAAATCTTTTTTTTATTTTTAAAAATATGTTTAAAAAAAAAACATTTCATCATTATATAATTTAAATGTTCAGTCAATTTTCCCGACAAAAATTTCACGAACATTTAATTTAAATGTTCAGTCAATTTTCCCGACAAAAATTTCACGAAAATTTAATTTAAATATTCAGTCAAATTTCGCTAAGAAACTTTCACGAAAATTTAATTCAAATTTTCAGTAAACTTTTAGGCGAAACATTTATTTAAGTGGGACATTTAAATCTTTGGCAATTTTCACTAAACTTTTCAATTAAATACTGCGAAGTTTGCAAGTAAATATTTAATATATTTTTAGGAAAGTTTCGGTGTTGTGTGGTATTTATTTTTTTTTCGAAAATCCAATTGGTTCTGAAAGTTTAGTTCTTCAGCTTTAAAATATTGGTCGGACAATCTTTAAATTCTATGAAAGGATAAAGTTATGTAACTTTTACCAGTGCACTGCAAGTAGCTTTTTTACACCACTGGTGGGGTAAAAAAACCACTTTGCGATTCGGGCAAAATATATTACCATTTTTTGTTTTTTCAATTTTTTTCTTCATTTATATAACAAATAATATTATTTTAATAAATTTTGAAGAATATTACTATTAAATCTAATGTAACAAAAATATAAAATATAAGAGAAAATTTATCTGTTTCCGAGGTTAAAAAAAGACGAGGTTACGAATACCAGAAAACAAATAAATATTTAATGGGATTTTGTATCCCACAGGTATATAATAAATCTCAAAATTAAAACAATTTAAAAAAAAATCTACATCACATACGTGTTAAGAATAGTTTTCTCTTTATGTACAAACGTTTACTTTTATTTTTCATCCACTTGAACGAGTCGTAATATGTTCGGAAAGTTCACAAAAATTTTGTATCTGAAAGACCACTAAACTAAATTTTACAATAAAAACCGTAATATTATAAATACGATGGGCAAACTAGAATCAAAAGTTGCGTATTACCTAATTGAATTTATATTCTAAATGGCTGATAAAACTGTTCAATAGTTTTAATAAAGAACCCAAATGGCTTTTTTTTCCCTGTCTTTTTCACACCACTCTACTATACATATATATTTATACTCTTATAGAATACTATACAGTAATCATATAGAACAGCCAATGTTATTCTTATAGGAGTGTTCATGGATGTTAATCTACATAGGTTTCTATGAAGAATCCTATAAGAATTCATGTGGGATCCTTATAGAATTCCTTGTTGGAACTTATATATGATTTACTAGTAGGGAAAAGCTGAGCAAAAATGGTACATTGTGACATTTTGATAAATTTGTACGAACAGTTCAAAAACATAATCTCTGTTCGAGTTTCACTGAACTTTTTTGAATAAACTTACAAAGTAAATTTTCTCTGTATAGAATATATTTTAATCAATTAAATATATAACGTTATTAACCAGAAAACGGTCTTTGAGAGAGTAATTTGAATTTTCACACGCACTGATAATATAACTTTAATTAATAATCACAGATCTACAAAATAAGACTTTTTTCAGTTGTCGGAGTGGTTTCCAATGTATTTTTGTGTGCTGAACACGACCCCGGGTTCCAAAGTTTCGTATCACGTCAGGATTTTAAGTAAAGAGGGGGTAAAATTTCCAAGAACAGTGTTTTTGATGATTTTCATTATTTTTTACTCATTAACACGACGTGCTACATACTTCTATATAGGCTTAAATTTTTTTTAGTATTTTTTTCTCCTTAACCTAACGTGCTAGAGACTTCTATATAGGCCTACATTAAAACTTAAATTAATCACTGTAAGACCCGTATGCGCAAGACAACAAAAAATTTGGGTAAAGATCACAAAAAATGTGTGTTTGTGGGTTTTTATTTTTTTTTATCCATAACCTGACGTGCTAGAGACTTCTATATAGGCTGAAATTAAAGTGTAAAACATACATTTTAAGACCAATATGCGCATAATAAATTTTTTTTTGAAAAATGGAGATAATGACCCCAATAATCTTTTTGAGTGATTCGAACATAATTTTTTTCAAAATTAAAATTCTTTTATCTTACGCATATGAATCTTAAAGTGTAAGATATAAGCTTTAATTTAAGTCTATATAAAAGTCTCTATCACATCAGGTTAAGGAGAAAAATATACTGAAAATATAGATATAGATATAGATTTATATGGGCGATTTCACGTGAGATTTCCGTCGACCTTTTAAATTCAGCCAAATATATTTTTTTTTTGTTCTGTAGTGAAAAAAAGAGATAAGTATATTTTTATTTTTTTTCCTGCAAAATTTTTGATTTATGCATTCTCAAAATTTCAGTTTTTTCAATGTAGACCTAATTTCAATGGCTGATAACTCGAAAAAAATGGATTTTTTCAATTTTTGCTAAGAGAAGAAAAGTTTCAGTTTTTCTTTTACTTTTCAATAATGTTAACGAAAATTCTTTTTTTATTTTTTATTAAAAAAATAACAATTTTTTTTAACAAATTTTTTTTTTAAGTTGGATATGATTTTTTTAAATATTTTTTTTTAAAACATGCCTGGAAAAACTAACATTTTGTAAAAAAGTTTTTGAAAAGTTTTTTGAAAATTAAAAGAAAAACTGAAACTTTTCTTCTCTTAGCAAAAATGAAAAAAATCCATTTTTTTCGAGTTATTACCCATTGAAAATAGGTTTACATTGAAAAAACTGAAATTTTGAGAATTCATAACTCGAAAATTGAAAAAAATAAAAAAATACTTATCTCTTTTTTTTCACTACAGAACAAGAAAAAAATATATTTGGCCTAATTTAAAGGGTCGACGGAAATCTCACTTGAAATCGCCCATATATATACATTCATATATACCTTTCACTAATTGATACTTGTCAGGAGTTAAAACTTTCAGTTCATTTTCTCCTTCTGCATCTTGGTTACTACTTTTTTTTTGTTTTAAACACCTTTTTTGAAGGACGTTTTTGCCCCACAAAATTTCAGTAATATCTCGAACAAATTTCGAATCATTTTTTAAAAGCATTAATTGCCACGTATCCTCATCTATAAAATTTCCACCGCCAAGATAAACCTGGAAGTAATATATAATTAAATAAATCGCATCTTCAAAGGACCCTGTAAAGGGTCATACATGGGATACTAAAAAAACGTGTTTTGGATGTTTCACGTCTAATAAATAGCGTACCGTTCTATGTTTTTAAGGGGGGTTTCTCACAAAAAAGGCAAAAAATGAACATTTTTGTTTTTTGCAATATTTTTTTTATTTTTTAAAATATCGGTATAAATCTTTTTAATTATTAAAATTTAAGTATTTAAAAAAAATTCCTTACATTTAAATTATTGAATTAAACGTTTTTTATAGTGTGGTGAAGTTCACACCAAAAAAAGCGTTTTGCGGTAGACACGATTCCGCCATTTTTAATCATTGGAAATTAAAAAATCAAAAATATTCTTAAAATATACATATGTGGTGACTTTTTAAACTAGGGTTTTTACTAAAAAATAAAAAAATGGCGGGCGTTTTAATCAAAAATTCGAAAAAACAACGTTTTTTCGTACTTAAATCTAGCGTCGGAAGGAAGGGGGTTACCGATTCAGTTCATCGTAGTTAAGTAACTGCGGACAAGTGTGCCAAACAATATGCAAAAAGATTTAAGGCAATATCTTTCTTTTTTTTGTAGCGTGTCTACCGTAAAAAACATTATTTTGAGAAATACACGTTTAAAGCCACGATAGCGCTATACGTTACAGTGGTTGCGCCACCCACTATAACTTATATATCTCGAAAACTATCACTCAGATCGACTAAAAATTTTAAGAGGGCATCATTATAATAAATGCACATTGTGAGAAATTAAGCTCAGCATCTGAATTTTTTGAAGGACAGATATTGTACCTCGATTATTTGCAGACACAGTACTAAAAATGAACAGCAGCGTCAATCGAGTACGGATTTTGAACTAACTTATGGAACAAATGATTTAGTAAAGTATCGGTTCACAAAAAGCGCAGATGCGTTATAATTTAGGAACCGATGTTGCTCGAAAGGTTAGTTACACCGTCTGAACGTGTGTTTAGTACAGAATCTGTGCAAAACTTTTCTCAGTGTAGGAATTACCCAAGTAGCACGATATATCAACCAGATGTCACGGTGATATCACCGTGACATCAGGAAAATGTCAAAATGTCCGCCTTACGGTGATATCACACGGTGACATCGAGGTGATATCATGGTGACATCAAGGTGATATCACAGTCATATCACGGTGATATCATGGTGATATCACCGTGATATCATGTTGATATTTTACAGAGACTTAAAATTTTTAAAAAATTATTATTCTTTTTTTTTATTATTTTTATTTTTTTTTATTTATTATTATTTTTTAAATTATTAAAAATTTTAAGTCCCTGTAAAATATCAACATGATATCACCATGATATCACCTCGATGTCACCGTGTGATATCACCGTAAGGCGGACATTTTGACATTTTCCTGATGTCACGGTGACATTCCCCGGTGATATCACCGTGACATCTGGTTGATATATCGTGCTACTTGGGTATAAAGTAAAAAAGAAAATCATACCTTTTCATTCTCGTCTACTACATAACGCTTTGGAATAGTAGCATCTCTACCACTTGGAGTTACTCTACCACTTGGAGTTACTCTACCTCTTGGAGTTAGTCTACCTCTTGTAGTTACTCTATCTCTTGGAGTTACTCTACCTCTTGTAGTTACTCTACCTCTTGGAGTTACTCTACCTCTTGGAGTTACTCTACCTCTTGGAGTTATTCTACCTCTTGGAGTTATTCTATCTCTTGGAGTTATTCTACCTCTTGGAGTTATTCTACCTCTTGGAGTTATTCTACCTGTTGGAGTTTCTCTACCTGTTTCGGTTTCAGTAACTCTTGGAATTTCTGTACCTCTTAAAGTTACATTATTTCTTGGAGATTCCGTACCTCTTGAAGTTTCTCCACCTCTTGGAGTTTCTCCGTTTACTGTAGTTTCACTGCCCATTGGTGTTGTACTACTATCATTACTTCCTGTAGTTACACTTGCAAGTGGTGTAGTTAATTGTCGCTGATTATGTTGACCTTAAAAATAAATTATAAAGTATCCCTATTTAAAAAAGATGGTCGAAATACAAACGAAGAAAGAGCAAATAATACTATATTTCGTGTGATATTTTTCCCAAAATCTGTCCCCTACTGAAAATTCTCATATAGGATCTTATATAGGATCTCACATAAATTCATATATTAAAATGCACAAAAAATCCTATGTGTCATGTAAGAAACTATATAGGATCCTATGAAAAATCATATAGGAAATTGAGACATGATTTGAAGTAGGATTCGATGTAAATTCTTATAAACGTATTCTTAGGTAATAAATTATGTAAATTCCTATGTGAAATCCTACAATTTTTTCTGGTCACATTTTTTCCTTCAATTTCTTATGTCAATTTTCTTCGTGTTTTCTCACTAAAAAACATACCAAAATTCATTGCTCAATCCTTAACCAAAAAATTTTCCTATATCAAATCATACATCAAATCTTTTTTCGATTCTTGAATAAAAAATTATTACAAATAATCTGACATGAAATCATATTGAAAATCCTCACGTGAGATCATATGTATGATTGATTTGAACATAAGAAATCATATAGGATTTCATGTAGATTCTGAAATATCTATATCTAAGATTTCACATAGAATTATATAAAGGAAACAATATAGGATTTCATATAGGAATTTTCAGTTGGCAGACGGCAGTTTATAAAAATTAAAAATTATTTAATTAAAAATCAAATAATATTACTGCAATTCATCTGAAAAGAATAGAAATTGTGCTTTGCAATACACCTTCTGAGTTAGAGTCTCAGCTTTTATAGTATTCAAGACTGATTTCAACTGTGAGAAAAAAAAATTAGCACCATCTGGCGGCGTAAAAGTGGAACTATGATGATATACATCTATATTTGAATTTCCCATATAATTTCCTATATAATTTCCGACATAATTTCTTATATAATTTCCGACTTGGTATCTTAGATGGACAATTAAAACAATGAAATTCACACATGACATCCCACATAAATTCCTATGTGATGAATTCTTACATGAAATCCTATCTAGGATCTTATATAGGATTTTATATATGATCCTACATAAGATTTTACATGGAAATATATATATAAAAATCCATGTAAAATCCTATGTAGGATCATATATAAAATCCTATATAGGATCCTATATAGGATTTCATGTAAGAATTCATCACATAGGAATTTATGTGGGATGTCATGTGTGGATTTCATTGTTTTAATTGTCCATCTAAGATACCAAGTCGGAAATTATATAAGAAATTATGTCGGAAATTATATAGGAAATTATATGGGAAATTCAAATATAGATGTATATCATCATAGTTCCACTTTTACGCCGCCAGATGGTGCTAATTTTTTTTTCTCACAGTTGAAATCAGTCTTGAATACTATAAAAGCTGAGACTCTAACTCAGAAGGTGTATTGCAAAGCACAATTTCTATTCTTTTCAGATGAATTGCAGTAATATTATTTGATTTTTAATTAAATAATTTTTAATTTTTATAAACTGCCGTCTGCCAACTGAAAATTCCTATATGAAATCCTATATTGTTTCCTTTATATAATTCTATGTGAAATCTTAGATATAGATATTTCAGAATCTACATGAAATCCTATATGATTTCTTATGTTCAAATCAATCATATATATGATCTCACGTGAGGATTTTCAATATGATTTCATGTCAGATTATTTGTAATAATTTTTTATTCAAGAATCGAAAAAAAATTGATGTATGATTTGATATAGGAAAATTTCTGGTTAAGGATTGAGCAATGAATTTTGGTATGTTTTTTAGTGAGAAAACACGATCAATTATTTAACAATTGTTTAAACGGAAATATTCCTTAAATATATTATTAAATAAAATATTTTTTGACTCACAGAATCGTAAATATTATGGTTTAACTTACTTAAACCTTTCAGACGTCTGTTTCTTCTGCCACTATTTTCCTTCTCTATAGGTGATGGAACAATATCACTCTCCTCATCAGTAGTATCACCATTAGAAATTTCTTCGTCTTTAAAAAATTAGAAAATAAGTAAGATATATATATATAAAGCAAAATAAAAATAAAATTTATTACCTGGACAGTGAAAAGGAGGCTTAGGTGTCAAAAAATCATTTTCCACTTTTTTGCCGATTCTCATAGACTTTGAGACGCTCTTTCACATGGTGTGTACCAAAATGTCATAATTTCTTAAAAATTATACTAAAAATAAAATTTAAGAATGAGGACTTTTACGGAAAATACAAATTTTTGAAAAATCTGCTATCTGAATTAGTGAAAAATGAGCTACTAACTTTAATTAGTAAGAATTTTCACTAATTTTTAGTCACTTTTACTAAAACTTTAATCAAAAAATTTAAAACTACTAAATCAAATAGTAATATTTTACTAAAAATTAGTAGAAATTCTTAACATTTGAAAAAAATCTGCAATATTGGTCCGGAATTTTGAATAAAAAAACTGATGCCAGTTTAGAAATAAACAACCCTGAAAACCTACGTGTAGACAGTTTTAAGTGAACTCTATAAGTTTTAAATTTCTATGTCCGCTATTTTCAATTCTGAAAAACTAACACCGTATGCGTAATCAGCCACTAAAAAAACACTCAAGTAATGAGTTTCAAGCCATACAAGTGTGAAGGAGTATCAATATTAACTTGTTAACTTTAAGAGCGTTTTTCTCGAAATCTTATTCTTGTTCTCATATGCCCTCTTTTTAATGTCCAGATCACAATTATATATAAAAACCATTTGCAATTTTAATAATTTCACACCCAAAAAAAGTAATTTTATATTTAGAGGAAATTTCCTCTTCTAATATCTTCTCAACATTTCCTCTCAAAACAAAGAATATTCAATTAGAATGTAAAATTTTAATGGAAGAATGACAAAATGATTCCTTTAATGTTTTTTTCTTGAATTAAATTTAAAAGATTTTAAGGAAGGAAAAGAAAAAAAATAATGGTATCTATCAATCTCTTTTCCTGTTTGATAGTTGTGCCTTTGTCATAAAATAATAGTTATATGAATTTTATCAATTGTAAAACGCGAAAATGTAAACTACCTTAAATATATCGATCCTCATTGCATAGTGAGTAAAATTTGATTTTACCAAGAAGTAGATGTGAATATATCATGCGTTCTATGCAGATAAATATAAAAAATGTTAACTCATGATTATTGTTACATACTAATTTTTTAAAATTATTTCATTGAGCTCTTTTGTTTATTACAACTGCAATGAAATTTAATGTATTAATGCACAACTCAAAAACATGGAATATTTTTTTCGTTAATGTTTCCTTAAAAAGCATTAAATAATTTGATATTACAGTAATCTATATTGATTTAATTTTTTTTTAATTTAAATATTTATCTATGGTATAACATTTATTAATTGATTCAAATTAAATACTTCTTATTGGTGTTTTTGATATGAAATACCTAGGAAATTTTTTTAAGATTTTGTTAATGTTAACATTTAATTCAATGTGTCAAAACTTTGCTTTGTTATTAATTCGTAACCATTATTTACTCATAATACAATAAAGACTTCTGTATTTCAGTTTCTTTTGACATGTAAAAATATGAGTATTACTCTTCTTGTGAGAGGATTTTTTCGAGAGGAAAATCCAATCATTTGATGAATATTACTTTTGATATCAAATAAAAGAGGAAAATATGTATCAAATTAAGAGGAATCCCCTAGATTTAAGATTACTTTTTCTTGGGTGCATCATTATTTTTACTAAAATTATAAAATAAAGTTTTTATAGTTTTTTAGAACATTTCACATTCAAAATATTTCAGACGATCAAAACATTCCTGATATGATATAAAATTATTACACAAACTAATTATAGGGGAAACAAGGGGTAAGGCGGATAAAATTTTCCTTTATCTTCATTGAATAAACATGAGTAATGTTTATAAAATAAATTAAAAATTTTAATAACAAAATAACTTTTCAAATATTTAAAAATTTACACAAAAATTAAAGCAATCTTATCCAAATGTAAATTGCCTAATAAATATTTGATTTTTTCCGCCTTACACGACGTCCCGCTTTACCCCACTGTCCCCTATTTATTTTCAATTAAAAAGAATTGTACCTATTAATTCTGAATCAGATTCATCTGAAGAAATGATAATTTTTCGACCTCTATTAACATTTTTTCTCTCACAGGGAAATCATCTTTTTCTTTAAATAACTGCTTTCTGCTTTTCTGCAAATAAATTGAAAATATAATTAGGCTAGATCGTACAAGGGAACTTCATTTCATGAAATCCTGCATGGAAAATTTTTTAGTGCACCGGTTGTACTGGTTAGTTAAAAAAAATTTCTACTTTAAAAACGGACATCAGTTATCCCAGTTTGGTGCAACCTATGTCCCCTTCAGTGGGTCTAATGTCCCTTTCAGTGCTTCTGACGCACTAAATCAGGATAACAGTTGCCCTCAGCCCATAGTACAACAGTTTTACCGTAGATTGCACATCTGATGTTTCATGTGTGGGTTTTTTTCAGTATGGATTTTTCACTATAATCTTTACTCTAGAAACTATGACTAGTAAAAATATAATAATACTAAAAATTTTATTTCACAATTGAGAGGCCGCCCTGGCGGATTCGATTTACCTAAAATCGACCCAGCTGGGTCGAATCTAAGTCGAATCTAAGTCGAATTTAGGTAATTATCAAAAAAAAGCTTTAAATTGATGAAAATTTATAAAAATTAGTATTGTGAGGTTAAATGAACATTCATAGAGTTAATTTTTGTAAGAATTTTAATTATTAACGTGATAAATAATAAATAATTACTTGATATGTGCAAGTGGTATCTGTAGATTTTAACTCGTTGTCAGTTTTCATAATATTTTCAGAAATTAGTGTAAAATGTGTGAAAAAATAATTTATATTTAATAGAAATTGCAAATTTTATTAAATTATTTTATTATTTAACAATCACATTTCATAATAATTGCAATTTAATTAAAAAATAACAGTTTTCTTAAAAGTGACAAGAACTCTATTATACCGACCACACACGGAACAGCGGAACGCGCGCCAAGATTTGAAAAGAGTTACAAATTTTAAACATTCATTAAATAGAAAATATGCAATTTTTTTCTTTATTTATAAAAAAAACTTTAGAATTTTGTTAAAATAATAAAAATTAAGCTGATATATTTTTCTTAAATTTTTACTTATAACTTTTTAAAAAATTCTTAAATAAAAGATCAAAAAATTTAGTTAAATTTGTATTTTGCCATCATAATTTTTTAACAAAAATATAATTTTTTAGACATAAAAATAAGAAAAATTTACATTAAAACTTATTTAAGAATTACATTTTTTTAACAAAATTCTTTTTTTTTTAAAAAAAAAAGTTGCAGATTTTTTATTTCATATTCACAATTCTTTAATGAAATTGTTTTTTAATACAAGTTATAAAAAAATTAATCATTTATTTATACTAATGCTAATAATCACTAATTTTAAGTAATAGGATAGCTGGAAATTTGTGCTCCCTGCATGCTGCTGCCATCTAACGGCGTCTGCAACTAATATAGGGCGATAGTTAAAAGTAAAGAAATAGTGATTATTAGTATTAATATAAGTAAATTGGTATAAATAAATGATTAATTCGGCATTTCTGAGAAAATTTTTATAAAATGATTATCTTTTATGGTTAATCAAATATATTTAATTAATGAAATTAAGATAATAATGAAATAGTTGTAATTAACAATTTGAATTTTCCCGCCAGAAGATCATGTGCATTCATATTCGCGCACTTTTACCGTGTGTGGTCGGTATAATAGAGTTCTTGTCACTTTTAAGAAAACTGTTATTTTTTAATTAAATTGCAATTATTATGAAATGTGATTGTTAAATAATAAAATAATTTAATAAAATTTGCAATTTCTATTAAATATAAATTATTTTTTCACACATTTTACACTAATTTCTGAAAATATTATGAAAACTGACAACGAGTTAAAATCTACAGATACCACTTGCACATATCAAGTAATTATTTATTATTTATCACGTTAATAATTAAAATTCTTACAAAAATTAACTCTATGAATGTTCATTTAACCTCACAATACTAATTTTTATAAATTTTCATCAATTTAAAGCTTTTTTTTGATAATTACCTAAATTCGACTTAGATTCGACTTAGATTCGACCCAGCTGGGTCGATTTTAGGTAAATCGAATCCGCCAGGGATTTTACGATGCAATTCGAAAAATATTGTTTTCTACCTTACCAACACTAGATATTAATTTAACACGGGTTTTTTGATTTTTTAATTTTAAAAGCAATCCAAAAGTATTTAAAACATTATTAAACATAATTTAGTGCTTATTTTTAATTTTTTTTCCTCCTTTTAATTAAATACTTTTGGATTGCTTTTAAAATTGAAAAATCGAAAAACCAGTGTTAAATTAATATCTAGTGTCGGTAAGGTAGAAAACCACATTTTCCGAATATCATGGTAAAATGACCAATATTACACTGTTTTTACAATGTTTTTAATGCAGAGATTTGAATTGATGAGAATAATTATTTTTTGTTTAAATGTACGTTTCATTAATAAATAATCATTCATTTTTGTTTTTAATTTAATTTTCCATTGTTTCTGCATCCATATAATTGCTTTTTCTTAATTAAAAGCCCTACAAAATTCGTCCGTTTCAGTGCGTTTACAATCTTCAGATCATTTCGGATACCAAAAGTGCTCGTATCCGAGATGCTCACAGATTCGTTCTGGTATCGCATTTCTGGTATCTTTTATTTTTTACTAGGTATTACAAAAATGTTCTCTTTTGATTAAATCTTACCTATTTACGAATTTCTAAGAATCTAATGATTAGAGTTGCTCTACCTACCCTTTCGATTATTATTTTTATCGAGTTAAGACTCTTTTGTATAGATTTCTTAATCTTAAAACAAATTAAAGATTAGGTTAATCGGATTGGGCTGTAACTTGCACATAGTTTAGTCCTATGAGTACTTTATCTACGAAGTATTGAAATGTTTTTTTAAAAACTGTAGGAGAGGTAGGAAAAATTTAAACAATGAATTTTTGACGACTTGTAACATTTAAACAGAAAGATGAAAGAAATTTTGACCCATATGTTTTCAAAAGGTTTTTTCCTACTCTTTCGAATGGTGCAAAAAAAATTTTTCTAAATTCAAAATTTCACCATTTTTTTGAAAATCAAAATTTTTTTGACATTTTTTCAAAATCAGTCTTTTTTAAACATTTCTTTTCAAAATTATACATGTGTATTTCCACTACAAAAAATATTGAGATATCCTTTTTTGTTATTTTCGAGATATTAATTTATTAATTATAGTTAATAAAATATAAAATATTTTATTAATAAATAAAGTTATTGCAATTCAGGAGCTACTAATTGAAAGCTAACGTAATTCCGCATGCAACGAGCCCTATCCCTGGCGGATTCGATTTACCTAAAATCGACCCAGCTGGGTCGAATCTAAGTCGAATCTAAGTCGAATTTAGGTAATTATCAAAAAAAAGCTTTAAATTGATGAAAATTTATAAAAATTAGTATTGTGAGATTAAATGAACATTCATAGAGTTAATTTTTGTAAGAATTTTAATTATTAACGTGATAAATAATAAATAATTACTTGATATGTGCAAGTGGTAACTGTAGATTTTAACTCGTTGTCAGTTTTCATAATATTTTCAGAAATTAGTGTAAAATGTGTGAAAAAATAATTTATATTTAATAGAAATTGCAAATTTTATTAAATTATTTTATTATTTAACAATCACATTTCATAATAATTGCAATTTAATTAAAAAATAACAGTTTTCTTAAAAGTGACAAGAACTCTATTATACCGACCACACACGGTAAAAGTGCGCGAATATGAATGCACATGATCTTCTGGCGGGAAAATTCAAATTGTTAATTACAACTATTTCATTATTATCTTAATTTCATTAATTAAATATATTTGATTAACCATAAAAGATAATCATTTTATAAAAATTTTCTCAGAAATGCCGAATTAATCATTTATTTATACCAATTTACTTATATTAATACTAATAATCACTATTTCTTTACTTTTAACTATCGCCCTATATTAGTTGCAGACGCCGTTAGATGGCAGCAGCATGCAGGGAGCACAAATTTCCAGCTATCCTATTACTTAAAATTAGTGATTATTAGCATTAGTATAAATAAATGATTAATTTTTTTATAACTTGTATTAAAAAACAATTTCATTAAAGAATTGTGAATATGAAATAAAAAATCTGCAACTTTTTTTTTTAAAAAAAAAAGAATTTTGTTAAAAAAATGTAATTCTTAAATAAGTTTTAATGTAAATTTTTCTTATTTTTATGTCTAAAAAATTATATTTTTGTTAAAAAATTATGATGGCAAAATACAAATTTAACTAAATTTTTTGATCTTTTATTTAAGAATTTTTTAAAAAGTTATAAGTAAAAATTTAAGAAAAATATATCAGCTTAATTTTTATTATTTTAACAAAATTCTAAAGTTTTTTTTATAAATAAAGAAAAAAATTGCATATTTTCTATTTAATGAATGTTTAAAATTTGTAACTCTTTTCAAATCTTGGCGCGCGTTCCGCTGTTCCGTGTGTGGTCGGTATAATAGAGTTCTTGTCACTTTTAAGAAAACTGTTATTTTTTAATTAAATTGCAATTATTATGAAATGTGATTGTTAAATAATAAAATAATTTAATAAAATTTGCAATTTCTATTAAATATAAATTATTTTTTCACACATTTTACACTAATTTCTGAAAATATTATGAAAACTGACAACGAGTTAAAATCTACAGTTACCACTTGCACATATCAAGTAATTATTTATTATTTATCACGTTAATAATTAAAATTCTTACAAAAATTAACTCTATGAATGTTCATTTAACCTCACAATACTAATTTTTATAAATTTTCATCAATTTAAAGCTTTTTTTTGATAATTACCTAAATTCGACTTAGATTCGACTTAGATTCGACCCAGCTGGGTCGATTTTAGGTAAATCGAATCCGCCAGGGCGCGTACAACAATAACCGCTACGCTCGGCAGGTCGTTATCGAGCGAGACAAGTTAGTTAAAAATGTAAAAATTTTAAACGCAAAATTTAAATTTTCAAAATGTATTACCTTACAGAAAATTAAAAAGAACAACTTTTTTCATTATGAATTTTTCTTCTTTGTCTAATATTTTTGTTGATAAATACAAAAAAATCGGAAAACATCTTTTTCATTTCTTTTTTCACAACGTATCTCCGATAATTATTAATTATTTGATTCAAACTAAATATATCCACGTATTACAGTCTAATAAAGCCAATGAAATCATAAAAAAATTAAAAAACACTTTTATTGTTTAATTATTGTCAATTGCAAATTGATAGTGGTCGGTAATTAGGTTTTCCTAGTTTCAATGACAAAAAAGTCTGCAGAGAGTTTTAAAATTGTTAGAACTTTTCTTGAGGCATTAGTTTAAGGGGAGGCACCACCCCCAATTTTGACCCACTTTAATTTACATTATTAAACGAGGTTCTATTTTTTTCTTGCATTATTTGGTTCTTAAAAACATACAGTATGGTCCAAAAAATAACATTTTAATTTATGAACATTTTAGAAATTAAAGTCTTAAAAAAATTAATATTTTAAATATCTATCATTTTTTACAATTTTGACTATTTTTCATCGCCAATTTTTTTCCACTATTTTTTTAATGAATCTTAAGAATCTCTTGCATGGATTTTCAAAAATATTAATTTTTTCAAAAAATAAAAATTCTAAAATGGTTAAAAATTAAATTTTTCTTTTTTTGACCACATTATATGTTTTCAGGACCCAAATGATGCAAGAAAAAAATATTACCTCATTTAATAATTTAAATTTAAGTGGGTCCAAATTGGGGGTGGTGCTTTCCCTTAATATACACTGGAGACTCCATCCACTGGACGGCTCGAGTCTTAGTCCAGTCGATGGAGTTCGTGCTTAACGCGACGATGGCGGCTCTCACACAGAACGTATATTACATAAAGGAAATAGTTTTCACTTATGGTGGTACACTTAAAACAGACACTCCTGAATATTATTTCCTGAGTGTTGCCACGCCTACTTCTTCCCCCTTACGTTTTACCGCTTTGTGACACCAACATGTCCGATGGATGAAGTCTTCAGTGTACTAATCAAAGAAGTCTTCCAGAAATGTTCAAATTCATTCGTAAAAAGATTTTTGAAAAATGTTAATAAAAACTATTATTTATGTTATAAAAATTAATTCAATTAGAGAATGAAATTTTTATTGTTTTTTGCAAAAAAATTAATTAAAATAGATATTTTTTTATTTTCTGTAAGGTAATGTATTTTAAAAATTAACATTTTTACACTTTTTGACCAGTTTGACTCACTTGAAAAAGACCGGACGAGCGTAGAGGTTGTAATTGAACGCGGCCTCTCAATTAGGTTCATCCATAAGACTGAATTTTTTTTTAATTACTTAAAAAATCACTATTAATTTACAAGGAACTAAAATACTGCGATACGCCATTCTGTGTTGAACCCGTTCTAATAATTACTTATCTTTATGTCTATCTTATAACATAATAATAATAATATTTCAAAATTAAAAATGGCGGATTCAATATGGCGGTCAAAATTTTAAAAAGTTATTAATTTTTTATAAAATTTGGTATCTAGGGGTTTTTTGATTCGCTGATGACGAATATGATGTCAAATTTTCAGAATTCAACATGGTGTATATAAAATAAAAAATTAATAACTTTTTATAATCGCCATATTGGATCCGCTATTTTGAATTTTGAAAAACTAAGATCGGATTCGTAATCAGCGACCCCAAAAACCCATGAATACTAATTATTAAGCGAATCCGAACGATTTTTGAAAAGAAGCTCGCCATATTGGATCTGCCATTTCGAATTTTGAAAAGCTAACATTGAATTTGTAATCAGCGACCCCTAAAACACATGAATACTAATTATTAAGCGAATCCGAATGATTTTTGAAAAGCTTGCCATATTGGATCTGCCATTTCGAATTTTGAAAAACTAACATTGAATCTGTAATCAGCGACCCCTAAAACACATGAATACTAACTATTAAGCGAATCCAAACGATTTTTGAAAAAAAGTCCACCAGGTTGGTTCCACCATTTTGAATTTCGAAAAACTAACATCGAATTCGTAATCAACTACCCTAAAAACCCACAAGTACTAATTTTTAAGCAAACACAAGTAATTTTTAAAATATTGTCCGCCATATTAGATCCGCCTTTTTGTTTAACACGGCAGAATAGTTACTTTATAAAAAATGGAAATTCACAAAAATCGCACTTTTTAGGATTATTTCATTTTTCATATTCATATAAATTTACATATTTTATTAATTATTTTTTAAATAACAAAAATTAAGTGACTTTAGTGAAGAAAAAAGTTCTTTATAAATTAGACACAAATAATTGGCACATCTGAAAACGAATGTTATAAGGGATTATTGTATAATATGTCAATAGTTGAAAACATCGTCAATAACTATTTTCATTTAATTTTCTACTAATTTCGTTTTTTTAAGCAAAGTAATTAAAAATTATTTAAAAGTAATATCGCAAAGAAGTAATATATAAGATTAATATTTTACAACGAATATTATTTGAATTTATTTAAATTCCTCATTTTTTGTAAACAACCAAAAATTGTAAAGAGCTTACACGTTTTTCTTAATTTGTCTATTGAAAGTTACTATAAAAAGTATGCATTATATTATATGCATTATATGTTCTGAAAAAGTTTTTTAACAAAGTAACATAACTCAATAGTGATTTACTTTTTTAAAAAATAGCAGCAGAAAATTACATACAATGCTTTTTTTAATTAAATACAAAATAATAATAATTAATATATTAATAACAAATAAATGTGCAGTTTTTGTATTTTTTTATAAAAGGGTAGATTTTCGAGTAAATTTATAATATCAAATTATAAAAAAAAAAATAAACAGTATTAAATGTAATTATTAGTTAGAATGTGAATTACCGATTTATTCTTTGATGAATCTTTTAGAAAGCTTCTTTTCCTTGCATTTGGGATGATTAACCTTTTTTTTTTGTTCTGAGCGGACAAATCTTCAATGCTGCCTATAAGAATTTATTTTAAGTTAAAAAAATTTTTTACACATGATTTTATTGTGAGTTACAATCATTTGAATAAATGAAATTTAAATTTCTGTCCTTTACATAAAAAACTGTAATTTATATGAAATGATCGTTTAAATTAATTTTATGAAAACAATTTCTAAAAATAAAAACCAATTTCTTTTTATTTTGAGGCAAACTAATATTTCAATTGACAGAAAAAGTTGTAAAATTATTTTCTTTGAGTTTATATAAACTTTTTTTATCTTTTTAATGTAATATATTAATTAGTTTTTAAATAGAATAAAAAAATTGTTTTTAAATCAAAAAATTATATTATGAAAATACATAAAACTTAATTAACATACCCCCATTTAATTATGATTAAATTATTTTAAACCCGATGCACTATTATTTACTATTTCCTCGATAACAATAATAATAATAATATAAATATTCAATGCTTTTACTATTAAATTATAGCTTAAGTGTATATTTCTTAAAAAATAAAACATGTAGAAATTAATATTTTAAAAAATTCATTTAAACAAATAAAATCTGATCTCAATGAAAGTATATATTTTTAAAAGATTTTAAAAAATAATTTATATAAGCTCTGTTATATGTCTCTAAATATACAAAATTTAATACTGCCTTTTACTTATAAATTAATTTAAGTATAACTTAATTAAAATTTTATTACATTCAATTCATCCGTTTTAATTCAATTTATTTATGCAAATTCTGTAAATTTTATTATAATTTAAATATTTATTTATGATTCCTTAAGGAAGAATGGGATGGACAGTCGGAACAAAAGTTAGTCCGACTGTGTTTTTTGTATTTTTACAGAAAACGATAATTTTAATCATAAATGTGCTCTGGTCAAAAGTTTCAGAATTTAATTTTGAATATTTTAAACAATTAATAATTGCAATTAAATAAAAATTACAAATTTTTTTTCATCGGAAACGTTTCTACATTTTTAGGTTATATTACCAAAATCTTTACCTATGAAAAAAAATTTTTAATTTTTATTTAATTGCAATTTTTAATTGTTTAAAATATTCAAAATTAAATTCTGAAACTTTTGACCAGAGCACATTTATGATTAAAATTAAAATCTGTAAAAATACAAAAAACACAGTCGGACTAACTTTTGTTCCGACTGTCCATCCCATTCTTCCTTAATCAAATTTAAACTTAAATACAGAATGTCACCTTGAACCACTATTTATCTAAAGAACACACTAGTAGTGTCAACTGTTTTCTGATATAACAAAGAGGTATACATGTATTATTATATTGATATTGTATTTTGTAAATTCTTCTGATAATAAATATATTAATTTATCAATATACTTACTACCTAAGCGTAGAACATAAACGTAGGTGTACTGCTCTTCCGAATTTAAAAATAATTTATATTTTAATTCCCTATCAAAATCATTTTTATCTTTAGGATGTAATCCTTCAATATCTGAAATTGATATCGTATTTATACTATTATCTTTAGCAAATAAAACACAGGCGTGTGTAAATTCTTTATTTATTGAGTCACGACGCATTGAAGAAGCCATTATCTGAAAGAATTTCCGAACAAAAACAAATAATATATACACCTTGAGACGACATTGATTTGTTTATCTTTTATTAATTAAATTATATTTGCTTCTGGTAACTTTATATTATTATTAAATTTGTATGTTTTAAAAGTAAAGAAACCTCCAATGAGAAAGCAAAGTGTTTATTAGATAAGACTATTTGTGAACTTTAAATTAATATTTTTTGAATTTGAAAATTCGCTATTTAAATAAAGTGAATCTGAACCGGTTTTTACACTTGTAAATTGATGATTATAATTTATGAACAAATACCACTAATGGTCATATAAAGATGTTTTAAAATAACGAACAAAATTCACAATTAACCATTTTACAATAAACTTATATTTTTATATTGATCTTGAATCGACATAAATTTCCACCAACGCTTTTAATTTTAATCTCATAACGATGTGAAAATTTACATACATGACTTAAATTCTGGCAGAATAGTATTAAAATAAAAGTTGAACTTACCACATAATTTTCCAATGCAATTTGCCCACAAAACTCACGAAAATATAAAAAGCCGACCTCAGAGAAGGTTCCAGTTTTCTTATCAATTCTTTGAAAAACAACACGTGCTACGACTTTAAACAAGAGGTATTACTTTGGTTCGCGGCAATGTGACACAGTCACGTGATTTTGATTCACCAAGGCAAACATTTTAGGTTATTCAAGATGGATGGGGGAAAATTCAAGATGGAGGTTTACTGTCTGATTGTGAGCTACAGCTTTCAGGCGTAAGCATAATAGAAACGTAACCGGAATCGTAATCGCAAACGGAAGAATTAGTAAAAGAAAAACAATAATATATGACTATCCTTCTCTAACTATTTTTTCATTTTACGATTGCGATTACGGTTACGTTTCTATTATGCCTTAAAGCGTATTCAGACCTCTCGGCTGCCTGCCTGCTATAGTTACTATGGTAACATGATAAGAGTGAGTAAAGCAGAAAATTTAAATTTTTCGTCTGTTTCACTCACTCCCATTATGTTACTATGGCCACTGCAGCAGGCAGGCAGCCGAGAGGTCTGAATGCGCCTTTAGGCCGTTTCCAAATTGGAATTTTTAGGGCCGTTTTTGAATTTGGATTTTTAGCGCACTTTTAGTAAAGTGTATACTCGGGAAATATGAAAATAAAAAAAGACACTGCATACTTTCCGAATATACACTTTATCAAAAATTTGTTAAAAATCCCAATTCGGAGACGGCCTTAGCCTTTACATTGGAACTATAGGCGTAAGCAAAACTAAGCCGGTTACAAAAGTCGTATAGGGGTTATGTAAGTTCCCGTAACCGTCTTTAATTGTGCGTTGAAAAACTTGCGTACCCGACTTATTGTTAAGGTCAACGCACAATAGATACGCGAACGAGACGCATGCTATAGAAAAGGATACGAATATATCTCTGTCCTTTTCTAACTCATGTTTTATGTTCACGAACGTCTTTGACGAAACTATTTTGCTTAGGCCCTTTCCAAAATGGAGCTAAACGCAACGCAAACGCGACGCATCCACATTTGCTTAGCATTGCGCTGCGTCGCGTCTGCGTTGCGTTTAGCTCCATTCTGGAAAGGGCCTTATGCTGACTCTACATTGGCTGCGTAAACGTGTACGTGAACGTGAACGTGCTGACGTCACCCATTTGAATAACATTGTGACGTCAGCACGTTCACGTTCACGTACACGTTTGCGCAGCCAATGTAGAGTCAGCATTAGACTTTCAGGGTGACTTTACATTGGCTGCGCAAACGTGTACGTGAACGTAAACGTGTGACGTCACCCATTTGAATAACATTGTGACGTCAGCACGTTCACGTACACGTTTGCGCAGCCAATGTAGAGTCAGCATCAGGGTATGAGGGTATGTTAGCGAAGCTACCTATCTATAATATAACGTATAAGAGTGTGAGAAATAAGAACATTTTTTATTTCTCTCATTCTTATACGTTAAGGCGTTTGTATACCTCACCTATCTCGAGTATACTTGTGTCGTGTACCATTGGAGTAAAAGAGACAGAAATATCTTTTGTTTCTTTTACTCCAATAGTACACAACAGAAGTATACTCGGGATCGGTGAGGTATACAAGCGCCTTTATATTATATCAATCGTAAAAGAAGATAAATCTCAATTAAACGAATATAATTTTTTAATATTATAATATTTACATAAAGTATCTACGAACATTTTTTGTCTACCAACGGTTGCTAAAGACTTTTTTTGCTTAGCAATGGTTGCCAATGATTTTTTCCTATTATAAAAAGGTCCTATCATACTCGACCAAAGCGTTATGCGTTAAGGCCTGAGCAGAATGGAAACGTAACCGGAATCGTAACCATAAACGCAACCGGAATAAAGAGTTGGAGAAGGACAAACAATATATCTATCATTCTCTAACTCATTCTTTCAGTTGCGGTTACGATTCCGGTTACGTTTCTATTCTGCTCATGCCTTTACGCTTTTTAGTAAAACTAATGAAATCATTTAGTCGAATATAATATCAACATAAAATATATAAAACATATTTAAACTACTGAAGTGTAATAGTGTACTAAAAAACAAGTGACTTTTTGGAAACACACAAATCTCATTAGGTTGTTCAAGTTAGGTGGGTTAAATTTAAAATGGCGATAAAGCGGTGCACAAACAAACATAAGAAATGTACGGGATAAAGTTAAATTTTTTTAATATTTCGCTTAAATGAAATTTTGGAACCTAAGTGTATTAGGATTTTTGTTTCTATTTTTAATTACCTATTTAATGCAATAATAAAATTTATTAAAAAAATAAAATCGTTCTTTATTATTGCATTAAATAGGAAATTAAAAATATAAACTAAAATCGTAATTCACTTAGGTTCCAAAAATTTCATTTAAGCGAGATATTAAAAAAAATCGACTACATCCCATACATTTCTTATGTTTGTTTATGCACAGCTTAATCGCTATTTTGGAATTTCCCCCACCCAAATTAAACAATCTAATAGTGCGTCTAACTTATATTTTTTGCATATGCATTAGGCCGTTTCCGAATTGGAATATTTAGCGCATTTTTGATAAAATGTATACTCGGAAAGTATGCAGTGTCCTTGTTTTTCTGTGCGAAAAAAAGGACACTGCATAATTCTTAAGTATACACTTTATCAAAAGTGCGCTAAATATCCCAATTCGGAAACGGTCATAGGTAGACAACAAAATTATTTTTTTAATATTTTTTAAAAAATAATTGCAAATAACTTTGCCGTTTTAGTTATAATATTTAAATTTTTTTAATACAAAAAAAATGTGAAGTGAATTGCACTTAACACATAATGCTACATTCTTCCATTCATAATAATTTTTTTAGAAGATAACCTAATTCTTCCCACAACTTGCTTCTAGGTCTTCCGACTTTATTCATTTTTAAACCATACAATAAAAAGTTAAAATATATTAAAATATTTAAATTTTAAATAAAATGTACACTCGTGGCCAGATATATCTACATTTTTTTGTTCTTTTCTAACGCACGTGTTTCCATGACAACATGTGAGTTAGAAAAGGACAAAAAGTGTTGGCACATTCCGGTAAGAATGTATAGGTTATGAAAACAAACGAGAATATAGAATAACTCATGCGTAGTACACAAGTTGTAATATACGTCAAATACGTATAAAACTTGTGACGTATAAAACTCTGTAATACACGCTTAGAAAACCACTACATGACCCGTAGTAATATACGGTCCCAACCCTGGGGATAATGGAAACTGACCCACTCAATTCGGAAACGGCCCTTTTAAACAAGGAAGAAGAAGAAAGGAAACGGCCCTTTAATTGTGCTTAAACGATATATGGAATTTTCAAAAATGACTGACTGTCATGGCGACAGAGCACGTGCACTCAGCTCATCCCAAGAAGACTAGAAATAGGAGGTATGAAGGCCAACGCACAATAGATTCGCGAACGAGATGCCTATTAATTGACAATTAACATTTTTAATTAATATTTCTAAAATTACGTTTTTTTATTTTAATATTTCTGTGAAAAATGCCGAAACAAGTGTCCAAAGATGAGCATATTAATCGCACCGAGGTAAGATGAAATTTACTTCGTAACATAACCTTCAATTGTAACTATTAACACATAGTTTCAATACTTCGCAATTCCACTTTTTTTCTTTAAAAAATGTGTTGAGTTTAAAAATTGGAAAATTTTTCTTATTTTTTATTGCAGGTTAACAGCTATAAAAATTACATGCGATGTAATTCAAAAACAGAAATTCCATTATCAACGTGGTTTCGGTACCAAAAATTGGAACGACAAAATGTAAGTTGCCATTTAAATAATAATGAATTAATTATATTTGCTAAATAAATGATGCACGTTTATCAATACCCATTAAAATAAAAAATCTTTCAAATTATGAATAGGGTGAAAATGAAAAAGTTGAAATAAAGAGTAGTATTCTTTGTTGAAATATATATTGCTAGGTATATCAAGAGTAATAATATTAAATAATAATTAATAAAAATATATAAAGTGTAATAATACAATAATTGGAAAAAATTAATGTGACAAACATAATATGTATAGGTTATGTAGTCACGTGTAATTAATTTTCTGATTAATTCTCTTTAAATCTCAATTATTCATTTTCTACTAATTTGGGGGTGCGGATTCGTTTACCAAAATGCAATAGTATTATTACTAGTTTTGTAGTTTTTAAATTCCAAAATTTCTCAATATTTTTTAAACCCTGCGTCTATTCGTCCGACTAGACGGACAAAATAATTTTTGATAATTTTGTCCGTCCATGTAAATTTTAAGGAAACCTTGGAGGAAGGGGGGGGGTCGGAAATGCCCAAAAGCATTCTGCGGACAAAGTCGGGTGGCTATAGACGGAAGTTTAGACGTTCAAGACACTTTGTTTTTTAAATTTCTTATAAAACTTTGTTTTCTTCAATTTTCTTCTTTAATTTAAAAACTTTTTGTATTTCAAGCTTATTTTCCTTTCAATTTTCATTCTTTGTAGTTTATAAAATTTATATATTTATTTACTTTTACAAAGTGGTCAAAAGTTTTCAATTTTTCTCGCAATTTATCCTTCTATTTTACAATTTTATAAAATTCTTGAATTTCCTCTTAATTTCTCCACATTGTATGTCTATAAATTTCTATTCTCTCATTTTACATAAAACTTATGTGCTTTTTATTATTTTTCAAATCATCAAATTTTTTTTCAAATTATTATTAGTATTATTATTACTTTTCTTCTCCTATCAATTTTTCTTTAAATTCTGACTTTTTAAAACATTTTCCCCGACTTTTTTAATCTTATTTTTTGTAATTACATTCTAAGATTGATTTATTTAGTTTCTCGAACTGGACAAAAATTCTCAATTTTCCCGGCAAATTTTTTCTCCTAGGAATTAAAATTATTATCAATATATTGATAATAAATTTTTGAACTAATAATTTTTGAACATATTGTTTAAACAAGTTTAAAAATATATTAAATATTTAATAATAATCATTTTTTGTTATTAATAATTAAAGTAAAATCGAGATAACTTTTTAGTAATTGTCATGGAAAAAGTTAGGGAAAAGTCAAGAAATTTTTTTTAGTCAATTTATTAGACACCCTGGATAACAGCTTATTTCTTCACATTTTTATACATATTATTATGGTAAATATTTATTTGAAATTATATGACGAAT